TGGCGATCGAAAGAACCATCGGTGTTCAGCTTGACCCAAGGTGGGTCGGGTCGAAGCCAAACAACAGCTCTGGGTCGAGGAAGTCGAACAGGCGCGGGGGAGCCACCATAAAACGGTGTGGTGGCGTGCAACCTGTCCAGTCTGTGGCAGTGAGCCTGCCCAATGATGTAAGGAGTGAAAGATGTCTCTCTACCTGCAAAACAATGTGAGAAAGAAAAAAAGTAATATCCCTATGCTTCGCACTATTCATTTCCTTCCAAGTGAACCAAAAGATCAGACAAGGAATGAGGAAGTCCATTTGTCTAAAGTGTGTGCTCTGTGAGAAAAACTCAGGAGCTCAAAGAAAATCTGTCTGGGGTGGGTAGGGATATATGAGTCCAAGTGGCAAAGTGCTCCCACACTCTCCTCACAATCTCACTCTCTAGAAAAAGGTGGATAAAGGTCTCGGTCTCATGACATCCGACCTCAAAACAACACACGCATCGGGAGGCGAAGGAGATCCCCCTCGCATGTAAAACCGTGTCCACGGGTATCCGGTGCAAAAGGAGGTGCCAAAGAAAAACCAAAATGGTAGGGGTGAAAAGATCACTCCAGATGGCGCTGAAGAGAAGATTAGGCCGATCTCTCAGCCTGATCTGCTGCCAAGCCGAGGTAGTAGAAAACACACCCGATGATGTAAGTCTCCACCTCATTCCATCCGAACCGTCCCCTGAGATGAGAATCTGCTGGATCTAATCTAATAAAAGCTCGCTAAAACCCGCCCCAAGGCCCAACTCCCTATCAAGCTTCCCCCATGTCCCACGACCCATCTGTCCAAAGGTCGCTCACAAGCAGGAAGGGGAAATACGACACCTGTCTATCTCTAAACAACAGCTTATCACCAATCCACCACTCATCCCAAAAACTGACCTTGCCATCACCCAAAACCCAAAAGATGTGATCCTAGGCGCGCCTACCGACTCTAGTAACACGTCGCCACTGTCTACTGTCATGGGCCACCGCCGTCACCAAACAAGGGTGGTTGGCACGTCTAGGGTAGTACTTGCCGCGAAGGTACTGAGCCCAAAGCGACTTTCGTTCCCTGAAGCGCCAGCACAACTTGTATGAAAAGGCAGTGAAAATATCCCTAAGGCGGCGAATGCCAAGGCCACCCTCAGAGAAAGAGCGGCAAATAGAGTCCCAATTCACCCAGTGGTACGTCTCCCCCTACCGGAGCCGTCCTCGTAACCCCAGAAATAACGAGCCATGATCTGGTCAATCTCGTCAAGAGTAGACCTAGAGGGTTGAGGACCATAAGTAAATGAAGCGGAAGGGAGCTAAGGGTGCTCTTGATCAGCACAAGCCGACCCCCGAAGGAAAGGTGTCTATGCGACCAGCCAGAGATCCTGTCGATCATCCTCTGTCTAATGTTCGCAAAGTGCGCTCTCGTAAGGTGACCCTTAGATAAAGGGGCACCGAGGTAAGTAATGGGAAGTTCGTCGGGCGCAAAGCCAGTAATCTCATGGACTCGCTGAGCCCACCTGTCTGCGCTGGAGGAGGAGAGGGTGAAGGTGCTCTTCTGCACACTGATCAGCTGGCCAGTAACCGAGCTATAGTGCTCCAGAAGGTGCATAAGCTCGATCAGGCCATCATCATCCGCCCGGGTGAAGATAATAATGTCATCCGCATAAGAAAGGTGCGAGATGGGAGGACCATAGACACGGGTGCTGTATGTCATCCGTGGATAGTCGTAGATGAAGCCGTCAAGACAGCGAGAGAAGTAGTCTGCCGCAAGAACAAAAAGGGATGGGGAAAGGGATTCACTCTGTCTAAGGCCTCTGGAGGAGGGGAAGAAGTCGGTGGGGCTACCATTAACCAGAACCAAGAACGTGAAATGCTCCACACACGCCTCAACAAAACTGATCCACCGCTTAGAAAATCCCATCCTAGCCAGTGCCTTCCTAAGAAACGGCCACTCCACCTATCATACGCCTTAGCCATGTCTAGCTTCAGCGCAAGGTTCAGTGCCCGCTTCCAATCCGCATGGGAAATATTGTGAATCATCTCCTGGGCCAAAAGTACGTTATCACTAATGACCGGTCCTTGATGAAACCACTCTGGTTCGGAGAGATGAGGGAGGGGAGAAAAGGGGAAAGGCGGTCGTTAAGAATCTTCAAAATGTGCTTATTGGTCATGTTACACAGGCTGATGGGCCTATAGTCGGGCCAAGAACTTAGATTGGGTCTTTTTCGAATCAAGACGACAGAGGTAGACGTGAAGGAATTCGACATCCGGTGACCGAAGAAGAAGTCCAACATTGCCTCCTCAACATCAGGCTCGACAATATCCCAGCATACCTGATACAAGAGAGAAGAGAACCCATCGATGCAAATCTGAATTTTCTAGTTCTCCAGGTGATCCTTTGAATTTTTCAACGAAATTTGAACAAAACGCATATAACATCAGATTAGTAAAACTCACCAAAAATCACAGCAAAATACCAAGAATTCGAGTTTTAATGATTTTTCGAAGTTTCAGCCCATAATTTCAAATCGACATTTGACATAGCTACAGACCTTATTTCAACTTCAAATTTTTACACCACATATTATACTAACAGAGGGTTATACAGTCTAAATTTTGCAGCAATCAGACGGATATACAATTTATAAAGATTTTTCAAAGATTCAGCAGCAATACCCGATTCAACAATGCATAAGAGACTAATTACTCAACAAAACGTCTAAGGCCTTCACCATGAGGCCAAAGACTTCAAATGTTCCAATAATACAAATCTCTAATCACGGTTTATGCACAATTCACATCTTTTTACAAATAACGAACATAATACGCAAATAATCGATCATAATTCGAACCCTAACATACAAATTCATACAAGGCTTAACACATATATCACAAACACATATAAAATAAGGGGGTTATCAGCCTTGTACCGTTCTCAAGGAATTTGAACAAAACTAGGGTCCAATGGAGGTCGAGAAGGGCTGCGAGCGCGCGGGGAAAGGCCTGCGCACGATCGTTGGGCGCTGGGAGGGCCTGCGCGCTTCGCGCGGACGCTGGACAGCGACGGGGAGCACAAACAGCGATGGCCTGGAATGCACGAATGGCTGCTACACACGAACGGGGTCGTGATGAGGAGCAGGTCGATGGAGGTGGCGGTTCGGGGCAGCGATCACGATCGGGAAAGAAGAGTAAAAGAAAAAGAGGAGTAGAGAGAGCGGAGAGAAAAAGGCTGCGAAAATAGAATTATGACGAGGAAGGGAGTCCAATCTCTCCTCTTTATAGGGCTAGGTCTTTGACCACATAGCTTAGTCAACAAGTTATCCAAGTGAGAGATATTAATTAAGGGAGAGAGAGTAATTATGGGACCAAATCAATTCTCAATTAATTGGTCAAAGCCTTAATTTCACTTTAATGGCTAATGATGAGTAAATAAAGATGGCAATTAATTCTTGAAATTCAAACATCACTAGCTTGCATATGAAATACACCAACGGTTGGTTCGGGCGGTTAATTGAAAATCTCGGTTATGCTCGACTTCGATGATCCGGTTAAATGGATAAATCATTCGGCTCGGATCGATGAAAATTAAATTAATTTAAATTAAAATAATATTTAATAATTATATAAAATATTCACGATTAGTATTTATTATAAATACACATAAATTTCACTTAGGCAATTAGACAATTAAATATGAAGCAACAAATAATGATATTAATGGCAACAATAATAATAACAACAACAACAATAATAATAATCTATTTATTCATGAACGAACGGGGCATTACACAATCCCTCCATACTCTCAGCATTCTCACGCAGGGTGTCCCAAAGGTCATATCTCCCGACCCTATTACACTTGGCATAAACCAAATTATGGAATATGGGTTCGGGAAGGTGGGCCGCAGAAAGCTCGACATGAAGCACCTGATCGGTATCCCGGAGGACCCGACATATATAATCACGCGAGTGGAAGAACCAGATCTTATGCGAAGTGTTACCCACGCCTTAGTGGAAACCGAGGCGGCGTGAGTAGTTGTCAAAATCAGGGGTGCGGATCATCGGCTTTATAAAGCCAACAAAGTCAAGTCTATGGTCATGAATAAGAGAGCGAAGATGAGCGAGAGTGGCCCTATTAGCCAGGCTTCGACCATTCCAAGTAATAGATGTGATAGACATATCAACAATCAGAAGAGCCACCGGACGTGGTCCGCCTGTGGCGATGCTGGGTCGAGCCACCTGAAGGAGGGGGAGGTGGCGAAAGGATTGAAGGGAAGGGGAGACTGTCCGTCATGTCACGCGCGGTGTGGGTCTAGTCTTCGAGGGGGGATGCCCTCGGTAAGTGCTCGTAGCCTGTGAGTCATCTGGCTGAGTAATCGGACCCAGAGCGGCACTGGAGACCTGCCCCATCTCCGGGGCAGCCTCCTGTCTGTCGAAATGAACGAAAGGATACGTGCCGGCTCAGTCGGGCTCCCAATCCCATCAGAGAGGATACGTGTCGGCTCATCCCCTTTCGGGGGAGCGGTGATGGGAGCAGTCCTGTTCTCTAAAGGGCGGTCCTGGCTAGATGAATGGACAGACAAAGGAATAGCGACACGAGTGCTGTCATCAGATAAATGGATAGAAGTGCCACTGGACGAGGTGGACGGCTGCTCCAAGTCATCTAGAAGAAGATCATCATCGTCAAAAGGGAAAGATCTGAGAGCCTATGAGGATCACTAGAATGCTCGGCCTCATCCTCTGGCTATGGGGAGAGGACAGCAAAGCGCGAGTGATTGGCCTTAAAGGCCGACTGTAAGGTATGCTTGGAAAGGAATCCCGACACCTTGGCCTTGGGCCCTACTGTAGCCAACAGCTTTGGCTAAGCATCCTTCCCAGTCTGGGTTGTGGTGTCCATCACGGCCTTGCCCTTATCCGTGGCCCCCTTTGGGGACCCGAGCACATGGAGAGGGCCTTTGCCCTTTCCCTTCGGGTCCCTCCGGCCGTTGGAGGGTCCCAGATGGGTCGCGCGATGGTGCTGAGGTGGAGTATGATGTAGCAATCGGTCACTATGTGTCCCACATGACTGCATGAGGAACAGAAAGCGGGGATCTTCTCATAGATCACCCGCTGAACAAAGGTCCCTGAACATTGCTCAATCTCAATCTCGTGGATAGGCTCCACTCTGAGATCAATCTCAACACGAAACCACGCCATATTAGCCCTGGAATGGAGGGCAGTCGGGGCATCGATACGAACCGGTTTTCTGACACACTTAGCAAGTGTGGTGATGGAATCCCGGTGATAAAGGTATGGTGGAAGGCCGGAGAGGCGGCACCACACGGGGACGACGAGCATCTTCGTCTTCGGGTTGAACCGGAAAGTGTACTTGAATACCCTAGCTGGGCATCCACACACGGGAATAGAGGTTTTAAGTCAAGCCTCATTATAGTCCTCGGGGAGATTAAACGAGACTAAGAGATGATTGAAATTATACCACTTAAAGGAGAACCTACCCTTAAAACCCAATTTGCCTAAACCAGCAGCAAGGTCTCGGGGGGGAGGGATGGCATAGGTAAACTTAAACACAAGGGTGTTAGCTAACTTACCGGCAAGGTTGTCAGCATCGGCCTGTGAGAATCGAGCCTTCACTTTGTTTTCCTCCGAGCAGATGATGGTCCCGCAAGCATGGTCATTATCCCCGTCAAAGTGAAAATCTTTAGGCGTCGGTCGCGTGGCATTCGGGCTACCAACTCTCTTTCCCGTGATAACCTCCCGGAAGGAGTGAGCCTGAGGAAGTGTTCGGAAGGGGCCTGTTAGTGTTATTTTTGTTATGTTTTTATTAATGTTTTTTTTATTATTTTTATGTATTTTTAATAATTTTGTGGGATTTTGGGTAGTTTTTAGTTTTTTAAGTGATTTGTAATATTTAAGTATTTGTGTGG